TATATATATATATATAAAGTATTTTTTAATGTGTGTGGCTCACAGGAAATTTTGTGGTGTGTGTATTTCGCAGGTCAATGATGGCTTTGATCTCGTCCAGCTGCTTGCTTAGCTGTTGTTCACCCACCTACAAACCAGAATGGACACATTCAATCACATTTCAATAAACAAGGAATCAATGATTATAATGCATAATGTAATTTTTACGTCTTAATCTGAAATCCTGATCAGGACTTAAACTCCACATTTGGAGGTTGTCCATCTTGCAATATGCGTTTAGAAAATGGCTCTAAAAATGTAATGCTTTGCCACCTTACTGTACGTCATCCTGTTGTATGACAGACTGACCTCAAAGATGAGTGTGTAGTGCTGTATGAGGTCCTCAATGGCCTGGCCGGCTGTGTAGTCCTGTCCATCGGTTTGAAACAGAGTGGGACCAAACACTATGGCCAGGTTGTGGAGGTTCATCTGATTTAGCTCAGAATAACGCTGCACACTGAAGCACACACAGTAAGAAATAAGTCTGCGTACACATATATGCACAGTGCGTATGCCAGTCACTGTGTATCAGCGTCTCACCAGTAGAGGTGGTTGATAAGAGCTTGTAGTGTAGCCTTGTTGACACGAGGAAGTCTGTCCAGCAGGAGCTTGTACTGTGTGATTTTTTCCCTTTCATCCTGAATGCCTGGAGTACAAAACAGAGTGGAAGAAAAACGAAATAAACAGAAAAGTATGAAACTAGCATTCTTTGGAAAAATTCATATAGCCTACAATCTTGGCAGTGAAAGATTTAAACAAAGATCTTAGTTGATCTATTAGTGCTAAGAGTAGGCACCACACCAGAGTCTAGCTCAGGGTCTGTAGAACTGGTTGAGTTATACTCATTAGTACTTTTCCAAATGGCCATATGGAACTGAGCTGACTTCAAGTATTAATCATATCAATCCAGTGATTACTCTGGATTTTCATTCAAATCCATCCAGTGGTTCATGAGATATTTTGATAATAAACAAATGAATGAATACACATACACACTCAAACACAGGATAATTTTATTTTTGTCCACTTTATATTGCAGCGGATTATGAAAAATAATAAGTTGTTCAGTTTCTGGTAACAAAGCAGCAGCAAATTTCTCTCTTAACTGCCACAATCTTAAATGTTTTAATGCCCAACAACAGAATCTAAACCTAATGTAACAAATTATGAGCAAAAATATTCCCGAATATGTAAAAAGTCTTCAAAGCAATTTTACATTTGTAGAATAATTTAATCAGACACAGAATCCTCCCCCACTTAACACAGTCTCGAGTCTTACCGGTGACACTGAGCCACGTCTTGGCGTCCCCCGACGTAAAAAGTCCCTCTTCTAACTCCCTGAAGAAGCGTTTAAGTGCGTTGGTGACATCGTCTACCTGATGGTCCCCTTCCTTCAGACGAAGACTGCGAGCGTCTTGGCGGAACCTGTCGCACAAAGCTGCCACACGGGAATTCACACCACTCTTGCGATAAATTCCTTCAGACATCAAACCTTTAAAACAAAAAAACAGTAACAATAATGAAATACTAAGTATTCCTTGAACAAATGCATATGATCAGGGGTGCACATAACTGGTACGCATACATAACAAAAATCAGGAATGCTTAGCATCACCTGTGTTCCCACAGGCCTTTGTGTATTTGATTGTGATGTTATAAACACTTGGGAGGATTGGGAGATTTCCCGGTGGGATGGTCTGACGTGTGGGCTGCAGGGCCGGCGCTCCCTGCTTTTTTTGTTTTTTAAAGAACGTTTTATTAACAACATTAAAACTCAGGACACCGCTACCACGGCACCTGGGCTGCCCAGCCTCCACTTAGGGCCGATGGGTGGCGGCAGCGTATTCTTAATTTTTTTGCACAAGCTGGATGTGCGATGCAACCTGTCAATCAATCCAGTAGGCGTGTCAGCAACTGACCAATCGATGACCTCAATTTGTCCCAAAGGTAAAGGCCTCTTACCTGCAGATATATGCAGCCCATCATTTTTTTTCTAGAACTTTATTAACAACACAAAACAGAACAATGCAACAAGATACAAATACAAATTAGTGATGTGTATCATAAGTACATTTCACAAAATAGGGGGTTTTACAAAATAATGAAGGAAAAAATACCAAGGACAAGGAGATACTGTACATCTGCAGCATCGGCATCATCTATAATGCAGGAAGCTGAAGCAGAAGATAGTAGCAGTGGCACTGAGGACAGCGAGGAAGGTGGCACTTGTTGAGACAAAGCTGCATATGGGGTAAGTACCAAACACCATCTCCTGAGGAGCCCACTAAAAAAAGTTATGTGCACCCCTGCATATGATCCACTGCCTTTAACGCCAGTGTTTCAAAGTTTTGAGCATCCTCCAGCACTCCTCTTTTATTTATTTCACACATGGGAACAACTCTGTTTTCATATAACTGCATTTAATTATTATTTCATGTACTGTTAATTCTAACAAACATCTAATATCCTATGAGATTAAAACTAGTAAAACGGATTAATGCTAGAATCTTTTTTTTCCCCATAAGCTAACTGCTGAGGGCAACATCTAACATATTTACCTTATACAGATGAGATAAGAAGGTCCCAACTGGAAGTGCAAGCATACGTAAAGCAGTGTGTTGTGAACCAAAAATAAATTGAACTTTAAGTTTTTTGATTTGAAGCTTTATGGTTTATCACTCGTTTCTATCAAATGTGTTCGTTATCGTTTTGTTTTGACAAGAAAACTAATTTTGCAGATAGCATGCAGTGGAATTATTACATTTAGTTAAAGGTGACTAGAGGCACTAGAAGTGTAGGGAATCATAAATAAGCATCATATGGTCAGAGATGATATTAGTTGCAGAACATACAGTAGATAACGCTGCAGCTGGAGTGGATTTTTCCTGATGGAGCCTATAAAGAGGAATAATAGATGAGAAGTTCAATTTAAAACACAAAATAGAGGGAAAGAGGATCAAAGGCTGAAGGAGGTGGAACAGAGCTGCTTTGTTATCTTGCAGTCTGTTCAGCTCTCCCACTGCCACACCTCCTCCTGCTAGTCACAAGTACAGACATTCACAGAAAGCTCCGATCCAAAATGTTGGTGATTTCTTCAAAATGTTAGTTTGAATTTGTCTCTGAAGGTCTCTTACCGCACTGTGTGATGTAGTCAATGCAGCTGAGTACGATGACAGGAACGTCTGTCTCTGTGAGCTGCTGCTGGCTCAGACAGTCTCCTCCGCTCTTTCCTGCTGCCTGGATGGCCCCGCACCAGCCAGCAAAGTCCAGCTTCCTTTCTCCCTCGATGTATAAAGTTCTACATAATGATAGATGTACACACAAAAAGACAATATTGAAAAAAAAAGTGTTGTTTTTAAAAGCAGCTAAGCAAAGAAAACAACACAATATAATAGATTAAAATGATAATTCAAATCTACTGACATGAGGTTTAGAGGAAAGGTTATAATCTTACTTGTAAATAAATATGTCTTTGGAAAAGCTCAGGTTAGAGGAATAAAGTTTAACTCTGACTGAATGGACAAGCCAACCAGCTACAGCTAGCTGTTGCTGCTGCCATTTGTGCCTGCTAATATTCACAAAATGTAATAATCCTGTAATGCTAAACTGACAGAGATGTAAAGTCATTTTTTAACTGCATTGTCATGACCCATTTTGATCATTCTTAGGCTGGAGTTTTAGATGGCAATATGCTGGCGTAATTCCTCTTATTTCAGGACATGTTAAAAAAATTAATAAAATACTGGACAGCTGGACTTCTACTATCTGAAGACTGTTTGCTTCCCATTCGGGAGGTTTTCAAGACTTTTTGTTTTTAGAAAGCCACCCGAATGGGAAGCAAATCATCTTCAGCTACAAAAAAGCCTGTTGTTTTGTTTTTAAACGGGTTTTTATTTAGTTAGTTAGTTTTGGCGGCAATCCACTTTGGTCTTTGCTCTGCTTGGACTAACTTTTAGCTCATCAACTCCGTCAGAATTAAAGTTGTTCTAGTTCTCCAACCTGAGGTCATTCAAAGACCCAGTTATAATAGTTAGGAAATTACTTATCCTTGTGTTTTTCCACAGGTCACCACTTCAATACGTCTAAACTATCACTTTTATTAAGTTTTACATTTTGTGTTGTCCTGATGCATGCTCAATAATCCAGGTAGAAAAATCCAACAAAGTAGTCAGGTTCTCTGGACGGGTTCAAAAAACAAAAAATTGTAGAAACGTTTTGTCTTTCGTCCGAAGGACTTCTTGAGTCTGAGCAGCTGTATTCAGCTCAGTCTTATAAGTAGCGCCTTCTCAGAGTGGATCAACCAGTTTGTTGTTAACTTTTTTGGACACATTGTGTTGCGTTTCAGACAAGAACGACTGATCCTAAATTCCAAAAAACTAACAAAAAAGGTTTTGAAGATAAAATAACATAAATCCTTTGGCTTTTTTTTTTCAGCAAATGAATGAATCAACATTCAGTCAATAATTCAGGCTAAATAGTTTAACATATTTTAGAATGAGTTATAAAAACTAACGGCACAAATTGATCATTTTATTAGAAAGGTCTTTACAAGTAAACATTAGTAAAATGTAATTTTGCATTATTTTTCTCTCTCACCTTCCCCTCTCGACAAGAACCAACACTTCACTGTCTTGTTGAATTGCTACAAAAAATAAAACAAATATTAATGTGCATTCATGTGGCAAGAATTTTGTCAAGGATTTGTCTTTCAACATCTCACTCACAAAGTTCATTCACTCGGCGGAGGTGGATCTCTTCTCCTTTGCTGCCCTCCAGGTAGAAGTGAAGCGTAGAGCCAACAAGAGCAAACCAGCCTACTTTGGATTTTTGTAGGTTCAGGCCGTCTTTACACTTTAGACGTCCAATCCGATCAAAACTCAACCGCAGCAAAGGCTCTGCAGAGGCTGGGATAAAGCTCTGTGGAAAAACAAGGACACTGAAGGTTTGTAGTGTGACTGTTGGCTGGGGATACTGTAATGTCATTTCGTGAAAACTGGTGAATATAG